ATAACGTCATAAAGAAACAACCTTATTAGATGTTTCTATTCATCAAGAAATATATTGTTTATTATAAATTTTAATTACTCCAGCGCTTTGTTTATATCGTACCAATAATTCTTAAATAAGAGAAAACATAATTTCAATTTTATTGATACCATCGACCAGTGATATAAAAATGTGTACCTTCATCTCATGAAACTTTTTAATGAACAAAAATTAATCAACATCTACATTTCAAGAAAATTTTTAAGATAATTTTGTCGTTGATTTACAATGACACATCAACACAGAATACGACTGATACGAGATACAGTACTTTTCACAAATAGAAGTAGTCACCCTTGACAACAATTGGAATTTTGTTTTTGTAGCGAAAGACACATATTGCGCATTCGATCTAAGTAAGAACGTGAGTAAATTAATTCGTTTAGTTGACTCTGACACGTTGGGTCATACGGGTCGACCTATTAATGAATCAAAATTGGTTAGCTGCTGGCAGAATGCGTCACTTTATTACACTCGTTGGCCTCACATTTACAATAAATCACTACACGACTGGAATTAAACTCCCTCGATTTCGTCACTTTTTCCCCTTTTTTACTTATTTTCTCTTCTTTGTTATAAAAAGAAAATTTCTAAAACAAAAGACTCTCTAAAACGATACTGAATATTATAGAAAGAAATTTAAACTAAAAATAATTGATAAAATTATTTGTTTGCATGGAATACTAAATTGTAAACGTTAATGTTTCTCTTGGTCACCATAAATATAAAAGCTATCGCTCTTACACATTGCATATTTATGAAATCACTGTATTTGTTTATCTACATATGTCTGTATAGTTGTTATCATCGACACCTAGAATATTCGTTATAAAGACAAAGGGTCAAACAAAAATGTTATTTAGTAAAAAATTTTCTTGTATAAGTATTTATTTGTTTCCTACACTATGATTACAATCTTATGTAATTGATAAGTATTTGACAGCAGTTTTGGTTATTCCATCGAAATGTTTCAACGAATAAATGGTTGGTGAAAACGATAAAGTTTGTGGCGAGGAAATGATAAAATTTGTCGTAAGGAAATGATAAAATTTGCGGTGATTTTGCTGTCACGTTTCTGATTCAAATTAACGAATAGTCATTATATTATTATACGAATTCTAGATTGTTAGGAGGTATAGTGTGTAGATCATAATTATACATATATCGGAATCGGGCGATAGTAGGAGATATATAAGTGTATGAACATCGAACTTTAAAATGGTAAGATGCTGCTCCAGATGTTGTAGATACGATAAAGTGACTGTCACCTAGTGGCAAATATTGAAAGATTAACGTCATTTGCAGAACTATTGCCGACTATTGACACATGTCAGACACAAAATTTCCATGCATTCCTGTTTTCCTTTTATCGCTTATCTTCTAAACCAGAAATCAGACTGCGAAAATGAATTGTATGTTGCGTTTATTTTATTATTGTACCTTGTCAATAGAATCGGCATAGACAAGCTAGAAGATATCTTTTTCATAATGTAAGCTCTATTTACATAAAAGTAGATTTGACACTCGATGAATTATTTTGTCACCGAAAAAATGGACTTCAGAAGTTCTAATTCCATTTTCGTGCCGCACTCAGCGTTACTGATATGAAAAGCGAAAATCACTTTTATTAGGTATTTTTTACTTCTAGGTTTTATGATTTGGGATTTGGAAGCACGATGTATAATATTTAATTGCAAAGGAATAAAAAATGATCCCAGAAAGTGTTCAAAAAATATACATTATATACGAATACGCGTCAGAACAGATCCTAATCCTCTTCCGTGTTTTGTTTTCAGCATCGAATTCCTGGTGCAGATACAATTCCTCCGTAGTGATACCTGTCCATTTGCCTCCATCATCTATCATCGATTATTGATCCACAAGTTAGTCGTTTCGGAGCTTTCACAAACGGCAGTTACAAATTCACAAGATCGTCAATTCATTATTATAATAGAAAAACGAAGTGAACCCATAGTAGAAAGAACCCTTAGAACATTATTGTAAAATAGAATATATCTAGAAAAGTGTGAAAATAAAAATCACGTAAAACTATGAATCAAACTTTTGAAATTATTTATGCATTTGTCATAGTTCCTATTTCCTTCCAATGACATTACCAACGCTGAAAACAGCGCAAATCAGTCCTAAAAACTTTATATATTCTATAGAAAATAATTAGTATAAACGTTCAAAATTTTTCGGTGATCTCTCAATTTAAGAACCATATCCGGGAGCAATGAGGTTCTTGTATTGAGAGAAGGTAGCGAATTGCTGTACTTTGATAGGTTGACGATTCCCAGCTGAACAGAGCTACCCTCATAGTCAATGACAAAGCAGGAAATAGCGAGTGAGCGAGTAAACCAGTACGATATCAGCACAACACATGTGAAACTAGTCACATCGACAACCAATGTAGTTTGTCTCACTTTACCGTGCTTGTGGTCTCGTACTTTTCGCGCATCTGAAAATGGATATTCGACTTGTACTTTTCGTCTCGTAGGATTCTCGACCAAATTTGCGAACAATGCTCAATGCACCTTGAGATATGTTTCGAATGTATGTATTTATAGGCAATATTTCGACAAGTTGAGCAGAATAAGGTCCAGCTAATTATTGCATTGACCTGAATGTTAACGTAGGAGAATGAATGTTGCAGGTGAATAGTATAAACTTCATATATTTTTCTGAAAGATGAAATGCGACCCATTTTAATTAATAAATGTCATTTTTGAAGAAAACGGTTTCGCAAGCAAAGTGTTTGAAAAAATGAAAATCTATTGGCGATAGGTCGGGTGAATAGGGCGGATGTTGCAAAATTTTATACTTTTCGATTCATTTTATTCTGAAACTGTTTCTTGCGATTTAATAAAGTATTTATAAAGAAATCTTTCTATTTGGAATCCGCTGAGTGGTACATGGGAAACTTCATAAATGTGATTGGATAATGTCACTGGCAATCCATTGGCATCGGCCAATCACACCGAAGAGAACGGACAAGCTCCGTCACGAAACAAAGATACGCTTGAACTGCACTGTCGGCAGGGACATACACAAGCACCTACTGCGCAGGATGCCGGAAGGGGGGGGGGGGCTGGAGTACCAGTCGCTCAGATCGACAAGCTTCGACGCGGCCCAAGAATTCTTGAATTGGAAAGCCGGCAACAAATTACGTAACTACTTACTGTGCAAGATAGGGGATGACGGAAGCAGATCGGACTTTATGAAAGTTTTTAGGATTTAGGAAAGCAAAGAAATTTGGAATTTTTAAATATTTCTCTAAGGTGTTCAAGATTTTTATGAGATTTTATCTGCGCTGATAGAATAAATGGAGCGTTACAATTTTATTTTAGCCGCGGCCCATTAAATTGGAAAAGTATGCAATTTTGCAACATCCACCCTATTCACCCGACCTATCGCCAACAGATCTTCATTTTTTCAAACACCTATACAACTCCTTTCACGGAATAAACACTTTATTTGCGAAGGTAGCATTCTTTAAAAATGACATTTATTCATTAAAATGGGCCATATTTCATCTATCAGAAAAGGATATAAAGTTTACACTATTCGCTTGTAACATTCATTCTCCTGCGCTAACATTCGGGTAAATGCAATAATTGGCTGGATTTTAACCTGCTCAACTTGTCGAAATATTATCTACAAACACATACATTCGAAACACATCTCAATGTTCATTGAGTATCGTTCGCAAATTTGGTCGAGAATTCTACGAGGGGAAAAGTCAAATCGAATATTGCGCCGCGTGTTTCAAATGGAGCGCCAGACATAAGAATGCGCGAAAAGAGCGAGACCGCAAGTACTGTAAAATGAGACGACTAGGTTTCTTATCCGTGTGGACCTTATCATAGAGCCCGCTGTCTCTCTTGATCATCTCTCGTTCTCTTTCTAAAACAACTGCGCGAAGGTGAATGCGCACTAGAATGGTGGTGATAGAAAGAGGTTCTTGAATTAGGGGAAGAAAAAGCTCTTGAATTGAGAGTACATACATACATACAGTATATATGTATGTAATATCTCCATGCGAATACATAAATCACTGTTTACAATATTAACTGATATTAGTTAAAAATGTTGCAGCACATAATTATCGATAGGTGATGATGATTTCAAGAAATTTCGCGAACGATAGAACATAGATGTATAAAATATTTTATTGTAAAGATATACATGCACAGAGAAGTACAGACGTTGTGTTTTTGAAAATACAATTTTCTATCATTAAATGTCATCGTATAAGAGGGAATTTCAGTTTGTGGTTTTTAAATAATTTATCAATGAAGTGACAGCTACATATTTTTAGTTACTACACTACTGTATATACATTTCAAATTTATATGTAAGATTATTAACTCCGATAATACCTGGACTTGTGAAACGATGTTGTGCCTATATATTTACATGCAAGTTCAGCAGTATACGGCGTGACATATTTTTTAAACGAGTTAGCCTCTCTATATTAAATGATCTTCGTTTATACATAGTGCATTGCTGTTTGTCAGTGTTTTAAGATGGCGGACTTGAACGAGAAGTTATTAGCAGAACTCCTCAAAAAACCAGAAAATAATTTGTGTGCGGACTGTGGGACAAAGAGTGAGTGGGTTTTCCGTGAAGATTTGTAAATATGTTTGTGCATCGCGTTAAAAAAATTATCAGAAAGGATTTCTTTAGCATCATATAAACCATTTAATGATTACGTTTGAAGACTTGTTTTTGTAATTTCGTTTACATTCGAATATATAAGGAAATCTGATTATATTACAAACACTGTGAAATTGCAACAAAAACTGTTATTAAATACAATTACAACTCTGCGTAACAAGTAGTGTTTCAAAATACTGTTGATACCAATTTAAAAATTTCTCTATTCTATAATAAGTGATGTAGTGGTAGATTATCATGGGACTTATCGAAAAAGAGAAATTTTGATTGAATTTCGAACATTTCAATTATTATATGTATAACACATTCTACATCGCAGAAAAATAAAAACATGTGCATCCTATGAAAAAAGTTTAAGTTACTCTTGTATCTAATAATAAAGAAATTACATTTACATATTCTTTTTGTTTGTTACGTTTATTCACCTTTCTTATTGCAAAACGCGTTCTTTTAAGATAGTTTGCTTCGATAAGATAGTTGCATGATTACCTTACTTTTATAAACATTTATTTCAACTCGATATCAACAAAAAAGCATTTTCCAGTTTCATTAGAATTATTTAAAACGTTACATAGTTAAGACAAATATTTTTATTCAGATAGTTGGAATTCAATTCCAGATCCAGAATGGGCTTCCTATAACATAGGAATATTTGTATGTACAAGATGCGCTGGCATACATAGATCAATGGGAGCACATATTTCCAAAGTGAAACACTTGAAATTAGACAGGTGGGAGGATTCTCAGGTGAATAGAATTAGAGAAGTTGGTAATGTTGCTGCTAGACTTCATTATGAAGAACGTGTACCGCCATGTTATCGTAGACCCAGTCCAGATACACCGCAGTAGGTTGCCAAAATATATGCATTGCAATTATAAAAAACAAATTTCTCTTGGAAATAATATTTCTGAATTGTTAGGGTATTGGTGGAACAATGGATAAGAGCAAAATACGAGAGAGAAGAGTTTTGTCACCCTGAACGGCAGAACCATTATGTGTCAGGGTTCATGGAAGGTTTCTTAATGAAACGTGGTAAAGAAGATTCACGTTATCATCCTCGAAAGTTTGTACTTTGCGAAGCAGAAGATACATTAAAATATCATGTTAAAGAAAATAAGGTACGTAGACAATATTACATATATAAATCTTTTGGTATTACTCATAAAAAAGTTTTTAACAGCCTTTTTTTAACCACAAGGAGCCCAAAGCTGTTCTAAGAATATCAGAGTTAAATGTAGCTTTCGCTCCACCTAAAACTGGAAATCAAAATAGTTTACAAATATCGTTTATGAAGGATGGTACAACAAGACATATCTATGTATACCACGAAGACCCAGAAGTAATTACAAATTGGTATTTAGCTATACGATGTGCAAAACTACATCGTTTAAAGGTTGCATATCCTGGAGCAACAGAAGATGAGTTACTTTCACAGCTTACCAGGGACTTTCCCCGAGAGGGTTTTTTGTGGAAAACTGGGCCTAGGCATACGGATGCCTATAAGAAGAGATGGTTTACATTAGATGGACGAAAACTTATGTACCACGACGATCCTATGGTACATATGCATGCATGTACGACGTGTGTTATAAAAACATTTAACTAATGTATTTGGTTTTATTTGAAGGATGCGCATCCGAAAGGAGAAATCTTTTTGGGTCATACTTCGGACGGTTTCGCCGTGAAAATTGGAGTACCTCCAGGTGCAAGAGATCAAGGATTTTCTTTCACTCTTGAAACACCGGACAGAACCTATCTCCTTTCTGCTCAAAGCGACGACGACAGAACACAATGGATAAATGTGATACAAAAGGTCATAGAGAAGCCACTTACGCCGCAGGATGCGACTGGTAAGTTTGTATTGACAATTGAATATTTGAATATTCATAATCAATAATACTATGGTTTCATAAAAACATCTTTTATTATCTTTTATTTAATATTTACAGTGGCGGCGCGTCTCATAAGAAAACGCACAGCAAGTGGTACAATGAATATATTTTCTTCTACAAGGTAGGGCTGGATCCCTCTTAGGTGCCTTTCCTAATTGTTAAACATGAAAATTACCTAGATAAATGAATTGGGCTGTTGTATCGAGAGATTATCAAGTAATAAATAGATTACTCAACATGCATGATGAATGGGTAACGTGTTATAAACGCAAACCACTGACAAGTCGTGTGCGTTTACGCGCACGTTCAGATTCTACGTATACACATAATATACTTAATATTTGTTCATAATCATTAGACTGCGGATGTTCATGCAAATTCACAATTTTACAAACCAATTTATGGAAAGAAAATTCTATAGATCTTTATTTTATATCTTGACAAGTTCGTTATGTTCTATGTTAAATGAAAAATGTATTAATCTTCGTAGACCTTTTTAATTTACTGTACTTTACATAGAATATGCGTATTATGAATGTATACGAATCCGCAGTTTAGTAATCATTCACGTTATATCGTACATCTTATGCATATATAAAACATTATAAAAATATTTTTAAAACTACATTGAATTTTAAAAACTAATTCCAACGATTTACGTATGATTATTACTGTTACACTGTATTCAGAAACTTTACTTTAAAATCATACAAATTTCTATTGATTTATAATGTCATATTTTTCTCATTATGTCATGAAATATTCAACATGTGCATGTATGCATAAGACCAAAGAGGATGAACCCTAAAAAGACTATGATATGCTCTTCAACGATACTTTTCGCTTGTTGTCGAATCAAGCTGTCAGTATTATGACACTATATTATACAAATTTTTACTTAATAATAATATTGTCTACATAATATTTATTAGCTGGTAATTGCCTATTTACAGTTTTATAGAACGTTTTGTTTTCGGATAATTGAGTAAGCATTATATAGTACGATGTGTAAAATGAAATTACGAAATTAAAATACTGATTTTACAGTATTTATTTTTAATTTTTTGCTTTTGTTACGTTTACTTTATTTAGATTTACAGAATATATGAAAAATTATGAATACAGTAAATTCTCGCAAATTTTCCTTCAGCTGATAAATAAAAATGAATAATTTTGGAAGAGAAGACACGAATATTCGAGCCTTTTTTTTATAGTTGTTGACAATCGGCAACTATAAAACTCGTTTTCCTAAATTGTCCATTTTTATTTACAAGCTGGGGGACAATTTGAGAAAATTTACTATAATGATATCTGTTTTCTAGAAATAACACATTCTTATGGCCTAGTAGTGAATTTTAATTATGAGACAGCAAGGGAAGTAGAAACTCAGTTGAATCTAAGTCGAATTTGATTCTAAACATTGTATTGCTGTAGATATGCGTATATTATGAATTTCATCTGTTCTAACATTTTGTGGACAATATTCATTACTTATATGTAAGATATATCGAATTTTTTATTTTCCCGAATAAAAGCTACATTTCTTATAAAGGTATAATGTCTGTCTCTTATACACATCTAGATGTGTATAAGAGACAGGTATGCGTATGTATATATACATATCTATTTTTCGAACATTTTTTGTGTATGGTAATACCTCTAAAATACATACATAAAAAATAATGGCGAATTAAAAGTTATTATTACAATAGCGTAGAACGTTGCATTAAAGTTTTTAAAACGAAATTGCTATTATTGTATTTCAAGAATATTATAGATGAATAATCGGTTTTATTTAAAATATTGACTTTCATCTGTGAAACGATTAAGATATCTTTATTTGTTGTATACATATGTAATATATTCGTAATGCACATATATGTAGAGTGTATTAGTCCTGTCTCTTATACACATCTAGATGTGTATAAGAGACAGGTATGCGTATGTATATATACATATCTATTTTTCGAACATTTTTTGTGTATGGTAATACCTCTAAAATACATACATAAAAAATAATGGCGAATTAAAAGTTATTATTACAATAGCGTAGAACGTTGCATTAAAGTTTTTAAAACGAAATTGCTATTATTGTATTTCAAGAATATTATAGATGAATAATCGGTTTTATTTAAAATATTGACTTTCATCTGTGAAACGATTAAGATATCTTTATTTGTTGTATACATATGTAATATATTCGTAATGCACATATATGTAGAGTGTATTAGTCCTGTCTCTTATACACATCTAGATGTGTATAAGAGACAGGACTAATACACTCTACATATATGTGCATTACGAATATATTACATATGTATACAACAAATAAAGATATCTTAATCGTTTCACAGATGAAAGTCAATATTTTAAATAAAACCGATTATTCATCTATAATATTCTTGAAATACAATAATAGCAATTTCGTTTTAAAAACTTTAATGCAACGTTCTACGCTATTGTAATAATAACTTTTAATTCGCCATTATTTTTTATGTATGTATTTTAGAGGTATTACCATACACAAAAAATGTTCGAAAAATAGATATGTATATATACATACGCATACAATAGATTAATACACTATTTTTTATAATTTAAGAAGGCATGGTTAAGAGAAAATTCATTACAAAAGATATTGTAAGAACAGTGTTCCTTCATCCTACACGTTATACGATTACACAATCATGCTG